TTAATTAATTTTAATTAATTAAAAACTTAATTCGAAAATTAAAACTAATTGATCAGAGGCCCTTGTCTTGATTAATTAATATTCATTTATATTAATATTATGGCATAATCATCAAGCCTAATCCACACAATTGGTGGCCCAAGCTTCAATTCCCATTCCAAGTGGTCCAACACCTAACTAATATTGTAGAGGACAAAACATATATAAATGTCATTGAGAATCTTGTTTTCACCAATATGGGACAAGAGTCTCAAACTCTAACAAAAGCTTCAATTCAAATGGGATAAGTTTCTTGTTTATTAAGTTGAATTTGAAAAGTAATAATTTTAGTTTGTGAGAATTGTGGAGAGAAAAATGGAAGTAGGGATGCTGGACGTGAGAGAGGAAAAATGAAAATGGAGATGGTAGTTCTTGAATTAATTATGTCATGACATGGGTTTTAATTGGGAGAATGGTTGGTTGCAAGAAAAAGAGTTGAAAATTAAATTAGTTTTGGTTTTATTTGACTTTTTAGGCTTGATGGCAATTTCATAAATACTGCGAAATTGTATTAACATATTTTAGTTAACATTATTAGGAGCAAAGCTAGAAGAAAGATTTGATGTTATATGTTGGGCTTTGCTTCAGCTCATGGGATTCAATTGATTTTTAGCATGTTGTATGTTACTTTTGTCCTTTACATTAAATTCTAAGACCTTTTTATTAGATAAAAGTTGTAGATGGTTTTTGGTTAAGAGAAGATTGGCTCAAGCCATTTTCATTAAAGCTAGGCATCTAAACTTCTGAATTAGTTCCCAAAAAGAAATAAAGAAGAAAGGGAGATGACCTTGTAACGGTCAAGAATGAATAGAGTTTTACCCTAATACGTGGCGGCATCCGATTGGCTAAGGTGATTCATAAGTAGGATAGATAAGGATAGAATTATACCAAAAATATTAATTATTCAATAATATCTTAAAATTATCTTAGAAGTATTCTTGATTGGACATGATTGCGATTCTTTACTTATTTGAGTTGATATGGAGTGTTAATAATAAGATTTGGTAATTAATCATATATTTAATGTTTTGACTTTTCTCTTGCTTTGAGGTTGTTATTCTCGAAATCTTTGTGGCTCTGCCCCATTTAATGAGGGTATTCTAGTCTTTTTTGGGCTCCATAATTTTTTAGCTTTGGCTCAAATAGTTCATCACTAACAGCTTCGTGATTAGGTGTACCTTTATTTGAGCTTGTAATTATTTGTGAGTGACAAGTACGATAGATATCTATTATAGTTTAGATCAAATTAATTACTCATCACTTAAAAGGAGAATATTGTTTTAAACAAATAGAAACAGATAATAGGAAAATTGAAAATAAAAAAGAATCGTCAATTGAAAAATGCAGTCCAAAAGAAATATTAACACTACGTTTGGATGAAAAAATTTAAAATTACTAAGGAATTTTAAAATGACGGAAATTAGAATGACATGATTTTATTTTTTATAATTTATGAATTTTCTTGTTTGGTTAACCTAAAAGAATAATGGACTTGAATACATAATTTGTTATTTTTAAACTCTCAATCATAGAAATTGGGAAATGACACATATTTACATGGAATTTAAACTTTGGAATTGGAGCTCCCAAATTCCAAGTTTTTTTTCCATGCGGAAATTCTAAATTTATATGTTTATGAATCCAAACAAGGGAATTGGTGCATGTCAATTTATAATTGATGGCTTTATCCAAATTTCAATTTTATTTCCCTCAGTCAAATATAGTGTTAGAGTAAGATATGAAGAGATTACATACTATATATTGTCCACATATCACTAAGATTTAGAATAGATGAAGAAATACATACTTAATTAGCCGATCGGGACAATATTGAATATATAATGGGTAAGGCAAGGTGGGATTATACGAGTAAGAATCCCGATTGAATCAGGAATCAGGAAAGTTATGAAGATACTTACCAGTTTGAGAAAATATACAATTTGAGTGGAGAAAAAGGTAACATGAATTATAAGTTTACATATATATCAGTATAAATACTAATATATAGATATGCATCAAAGCAATAATATTCAAAGCATTACGTAAATTTTCCTTTATTCTTGTTCTAGGTAAATTTTGCTTTCTTTGTTCTACGGGTGGCACTAGTACTGCAAACTTAATTTGTTTATTATATACTAATTACGTAGCATAATTGAGGTTTGATTTATATAGATTTTGCAAATTTATTTTCTGGAGATTAATGATATGCTTCATGTTTGATTGATTGCAGAGTGGTAAGTAGTTGATCATCAGTTAAACGGAGAAGAATATGTTAGAACAATTCTTCGTAAACTGCTCCGTTCATAATAGTTCATCAACGCTATGGTCATATAAAGAAGCGCCAACATATCGGACCTTTGGCCAAATCGGGTGTTTTAAGGAGAATCTGCCTGGTGCTCATGGACCATATACCAATTATAATGCCCCGGGGGGGTTCGCTTACAGCCTCAAAGAGTATAGCTTATTAGAACAACGCATGCTCGCCCTTGGATTTGTAGGTGTCTTTGATCAGAAAATCTTCCCTCGTCTCTTGTATGTAGATGAACTCCTTTGTAGGGTCAAGGACGAGTTCACGAAGAATTTTTATCACCCGGCAAAGAAGGATTACCGTGATTTTGACCAAACTTTTCGACAGCTTAAGGAGGAGTTTGAGTCGAAGCAGGTGCAACGTAAGGCTCGAGGACTACTTGGAGGATACAGGAAAATTAAGGGGTGGTGTTCTTCTATGTTCCCCAGGTTAGTTATTTTTTTTATTTTTTATTTTTATTTTTTTTTTGAGAAACCCCAGGTTAGTTAGTTAAACTATATATAATTCGAAATAATTACCTTAATAGTTTGATTCTACCCATTTTTTTAATCAATACGTTCGATATTATTTACACTAAGGATTGGGGAGTGGGCTAAATGACACAATGGACTAGCCATAACAATTTGATTCAAATTCATCTTCGGCGAAAATCGAATCTAAAACCTCTCAATTACAAGTGCAGAATAATAGTACTACACTGTAGTACTAAGCGGCAACTTGATTCTACTCTTAATTTTGTACTAGCTCGTACTCAAATGTACAATTAAGTAGCTGATTAATACGGTGAATTTATTTCTTGAAGGATGTCACTGGAGAAGACAGTTCTTGAGCCACATTTAAAAGCTCTCGAGGAAAAGCTCATCGCCAAGGAAGTGGTATATTTTTAATTTCATGCACGCAGCTCTTCTAGTGCTATATATGTATATAGATGTAATTAATGTTTCTTTACTACTATGATTAAATTCCCATGATCTTATGCTAATGATGCCCCGACCGATCGTCAAGTCTTTCCTCTCCCTCTCGTATTGATGATATAATAGAGACATGCATCTATCTATTTAGTCGAATTCGAATCTGCTTAATTAATCGTCTTCAAATCTCTTTAATTATTTTTTCTGCTTAATGGCTTTCCTAGGCCAAGAATATAGCTGAGGAGCTTCGTGAATCAGTGGCAGCTATTCTTGAGGGTAAAAGTTGGCTAGGTGTAAAACAATATCTTCAGCCGTGCGGGTATATATGTTTTCTATTTAATTAATTAGTGCTAATCTTCATTCCTTCGGTCAATCAACCATGCACGACTTAGTCATTATTTTTCTATCAAATAATCAACATACTGTAACTGTATGCACGTTTTACATTTACGTGTGGTATATGTCACAACTTAAAAGTGTTGGAAATTGGAATCAAGAGTTAATTAGTGAGTTGATTTATTTACTAGATTTACTTTCTTAATTTTGTGTCAGTGAAATAACCTAAAGATGATTTGCAATCAGTTTTTCTTTATACTTCTTTGATTTGTTAACAACAAGACTAATATTATCAATTACAAATAATTACAACAGGTAACGATTGAAGAAATTCTTGTTCACGCTTTAACTCCTAAACCATGTTACTCTATAGTGGCACTACACCAGAAAAGTTATGTGCGAAGGCATATCCGGAAAACATTGCTTCCGACTGTCCCGCAAGTTTTCATCGACAGTGTTGTAAACGATGGTGTAAAGGGATCTACCACTTCGGTTAAGTGAAATTATTTTTCTTGTACTTATTAATTAAGCTCATGCATGCATGCATGCATGAACCTTTACGTAGTTTCCTCAATGAAATGGTTTTATTTACAAATTGTACTTGATTAATATGCAGAATATCAAACGCAAAGATGTAATATATACAGCTGGTTTAAAGCATCCTGAAAATTTGATAAGGGAAGCAATCCATGAGGCCATTATAGACGAGGAACTCAGATGGTGGGTAATTTGTGTTGTCGTATCCAGTCCAAAGCAGGTAATTAATTATTCTCTCTTTATTTTAATCAGGCTGTGTATTGATTAATTATTATTTTTAATACATATCAGTATAAAGAATTAATTTTGATCGAGTGTCTTGTTCGCATTGTTGTGGTTATGGTGTAGGCTGCAGTTGCACTGTTGACGGCTTACTTATCTGGAGCAGAGACTTTTATTAGTGCCAATTTGAAAGATATTGCAAGTGAAGGACCTGAATATATAACATACCGCCAAAATCTGGTGATCAATTTCAAATTACTAATCAAGAAACTTCTGAAATAACGCGCGAGACGGCGATTTGTTTGTGTTTCAGTATATTACATACAATGTTGATTGTTAATTTAATTTGTATTTTCATGACCACACTTTATCGTGCATGTTTTTGGAAAATTTCAAAAGTAAATTGTCAAGTAGTCGTTAATTTCGACTTTGCTTTAATATCATTCTAGTCTCTTGACACACCTTCTCATGCATGCGGTAATTTTCTCTTTAATTTTACGTGTTTACTTGCTCTTAAATTTTGTTTTAAATATTTTTTACTTTTTTATTTTAAAAATTTAAAGAAAAAAATTGCCAACTACGTGGTAATTTATTTTGTTATGTTGGATTTTTTTAATTAAATATTTAATTTAAGAACTTAATTAAGGAAGTGTACTTTTGGGATTCACCCTTCCTCCTCAATTTGCCGTCCTGGTTCCAAATTTCGCTACCCCGACTTACTCAAAATCCCTGAAATCCCAAAACCCAATTTCCTCCGGCCAAAGAAATCGCCATCACCCTTCAACCACACAAAAATTCCCGACAAAATTCGGAACAGAAGGTCCTAATTTTCTCAGAAAAATCTCAAATGGGGAAGACCGGACCTTTTGATCTCAAAAAGTACTTTGCTTTCTACGTACAGAGCTTACCACAGCAACCCAGTCAACATGGCGATTTGCATGCTCTTCGTCTAGCCAATCCTTTTCATCCTCTACTTCATGCCCACGCTGCTCAATTTTGGGGTTTTGGTGTTTTGGTGTTTGGGAACGACGTCGTTCTGCCTTTAAACATCGGTTTGCCATTGACTATAATCTATATATTCTGTGTTTTACATCTATTTGGACGCAAAATCTGGCTCCTTGGGTGCTCTGCTCTGTGTAATTACGGGGTTGGTAGCTGTTTCCTTGGAAGACAACTCGGATTTTTCATCTCTTGGAAGGTAATTTTTGGGTTGTTATTAATTTTTGTGAAATATTTGGTCTGGGTTTTGTTTATTTTGTGGAATTAGATACTTATTTTTTGAAGTGCAGTTATTGTTAGTAACGTTTATCATGAAATTTTGATCTAGGATTTTGATTTTGATTTCTTTTACCGTCCAGTATTCTTTGTTTTGCCGTATATCAAAAAAATTGATCTAGGATTTTGATTTGTTTTACAGCTCAGTAATTTGTGGAGATATCGTTAGTTTTTATCAAGAAATTTGATCTGGTTTCGTTTATTTTTTGAAAGATTTTTCTTTATAATTCAGTAAATTGCTTGCTCATTTAGCTGTAAATTTGACCTCAGTAAATTTTCAGGTTGTTCTGGACTTTAATTTCAGTGATACCCAGTATTAATTGGTTGTTGATTAGAATTTGATTTCTGGAATTTGAACTCTGAACAATTTAATCTCTATTCGATTTATTCTGTTTTGTGCAAGAGGGGTTTGGACGATGAGGAAGACGGAGAGCCTTTGTTCGGGCCTGTTGATAGTACCATTTATTTGAGAAACATAAGGTTAGATCATCCTTTTTCCCGCTTACCTTACAATGGTCCGTGAGGTCAACAATATAATAGTTTATTGTTTCAATTTACATTTGTCATTCTTTCTGAAGCATGCTAAATTATTCACCTGCACTTAAGCTGGTGTGTGTATATTTTTCTTTATTCATGTTGAGTACTCAACACCTGACTTGATGCTATATACAACCATTTTCCTATCCTTTTTATTCTTTGTGACAAGCTTCATATCCATTGTCTGTTTAGGTAAATGAAATATGATGCAGGACCTTCAACAAAACATGTATATTGACTTCAATCTTTCCCTTTCCGTTAGGGTCTTGGTTTGGGATCTTTGTTTGACATAGATGATCTGGCATGCACTTTTCCAATGGTCAGCTTTCTCAACTTTGATGACTTTGCAAACAATTGAGTTTGTCTGCAACCAATATATGCTGGCCCACATCTTTTGTTTTGTTTTTACCGTTATAGGTACATCAAATTCTTTCCTTTTTGGTGTGCATTTCTGTATTTGGGATTTGTATATTTAACATCTTCTTGCTGCATTTGCAATCTCACCGGGTTTGTTGTAATGGTGAAGTTTCTTTTCTTTTCCATTCTTTTTTTATCTTAATCTCATTGTGGTACTGTTCGAGTTTTGGACTTTTATGCGAAAAGTTTTGCGTTTGGGATAAAAGTGGATTATTTAGTGTACAGTGTATTGATTTAAACCTTTTGTTGATTTCTTTGGAATTCGGAGTCAACTCAGTAATCGGGGTTTTATCTTTTCTCATTCACTTTTTAGCTGTTCTCGTTTTCTATGTTTTTTTTCTTTTTCGGTTTCTCGATTCTTTGCTTCATATGTGATGTTCTTTGTTGGCAAGAAGCGGGTTGCTTCGATGAGTCCATCTCCAGGGTTCATTCAAGTCTGTTGCCCTCTATTGACGAAACCGAAGTTATATACCTTCCTTTGTCTTACTTCTCGACTCTATTGATGAGTCTAGCTTTTGCTTTAACAAGTCATCTGTATCCTATTTTTTTATCGGTTTCTGATTAGTTTAAAGTAATTTTCTTCTTTAATATATTTGATTCCATGCTTCTCTTTTTAACTGTCACCACTTTATTTTCTTCCCTTTTCAAAAGATTTAAATGATTGATATTCAGAACTACTTATTTGTTTCATCTTTTTATTATTTTTTTTAACAAAGTTGTGTCAAAGATGAGGCAGGTGAGTTTTGAGCTCCCTGAAAAAGGTGTAAGTGCACATGGGAAACTCTTTAGGGAATAAAATTATCTGGAAAAGATGGATTCCTTTCCTGGGTTTTTTTTTCACCCTTACTTGGATTATAGATAAGACACAGTAGATATCTCGAGAGTAAAAGCCTTTATGTTTTAGCTATATATATCGTATAGAATATCATGGTAATAAAATAGTTCGATTTGCAGCTTTATGATGTTTTCTTTGACAATTACATTCACTTGTTAATCTGCAACTCATTTATCATGATTTTTCATCCTCAGGAACATTTTACTCGAAATGGCTGTGGTTCTGTGTCCGTTATTGTGTATGGAGACCAAGAAAAGCCTGCACTTATAACTTATCCTGATTTAGCTCTAAATCGTAAGTGTGATAGTCTATCGTCCTGATAAAATGTCAAGATATTATTCTCTAAATGGACATCAAAGTATGTTTATGTTTATTTGCTTCTTCTTGACATAATTAGACTATAAATTCCTAACTTTTCTGTTTATTTTGTTAAATTGAGCAGATATGTCTTGTTTCCAAGGGTTATTCTTTTGTCCCGAAGCGGATTCTTTGCTGCTCCACAACTTCTGCATATATCATATCAGTCCTCCTGGCCATGAGGTCTGTAAATGGTTTGCTTCAAGTGGATTTTATTATTCTATCTGATTATCGAATCATACAATTTTTATGAAAAATATTTTATGCAGCTGAACGCCATTATTCACATAGTTTCTCTTTGGAACTCTCACAAGAGTTCTTGCAGTTAGGAGCTGCTTCAATTTGCCCGGATGATCCTGTGCCTTCAGTTGATGACTTGGCAGATCGGAACCTTGAGGTTCTCAATTTTTTTGGGTAACCACCAACACTAAGTCTTCATATTAATGGATTTTCAAGTTGTGAGTGTTTGAAACTCCTTGCTGTTGCTTCCAACATTCAAATAGTGTAGAAGCGTGCCCTTTTTTCGCTAATCATGTTTTAATGTTGTTTTCTCTGATTGCACTAAAATCTCTTTGTGCAGGCTTGGTGCAGTTATGTGCATGGGGTTGGCAGTGGGTGGTTATATTTTTTCCCTATTTGCCGTAAGTTCCATAAACCATTTGCAACTATATTAAAAAAAAAATCTATCTAAATGTAGCCGTTATGTTTATGAGTAAATGATAAACTTCAAATGGTTTACCATGATTAGCCGTAATCTGTAGGTGATGTTGAATATGCTATATTTCTATGGCATGTGTGGTTTGCTAAAAGAGCGTTTGCTTCAGCGATACTTCAGTGAGGTACTGCTGTGCTCCGACAATTTCTCGAGATGATCCTGCGCTTTCAAAAGGTTTAATTTTTTTCACCTTGTGAAGCTTGTGTCTCTGAAAGCACCTTAATTGTGTTTAATTTGGATTTTTGCGTTGTAAATTCTAAATTTTTGTTTTTATTTTTGAATATGTAGCCTTATCTTCCACTGGAGTTGCAACATTTGAGTTTTACATTTGTGTATGTAATGACAGCAACCGATCCAAATTCTGCATTTGTCCAGTAAATTGTAAAAGTAAACCGAATTTTGAGGGAATTAAAAGAGATACCGTCGGCTTTAGCCATGAAAGGTATCAACAACTTGTTAGCCATACAGTTGATTAATCATTTCCCAATCTGTGCTCTACTTGGTTGATGAGAAAATGATTAAAAAGGATGATTCTTTTTGTTTATATGTTGGTTAATTTGTGTATGGACAATTGTTATTATTATTATTATTATTATTTTGTGTACAGGGTGCTGTGTTGGAAACAGCGATGCAAGGGCGGGATATGCTCGGTCGCGCTAGAAAGAAAACAGGGAAAACTCTGCCAAACATGGGTTTGTTTCTCAAATCACATTCATTAGGTAGATTATTAATGTGCTTGGGTAGGGGTTTTCAATATGATTATCTAATTTCCGCGTTGCAGCATTTTCTTTTTGGTTTTTGGAGTATGTATGTGATTTATGTTTGATTATATGCAGGCGTGGAGAGTGTCTTTTGGCTTTGGTTTTGGCCTCAACAAGAGAACGCGTAAGGCAAGGTGAGAAAGAATTCCATGATGCAGCACCTGGTTTGGATATGTGTCTATGGTGTGGTACCCCCATTTCAAGGCAAATGAGAGCACTTGACTATGGTAACCCAATGACTCTGTTTGTTGTTGTTTTTCCTTAATGGGTTATCGATTTCTTGCTTTTTTTTATTGAGTTTTTTGGCTATGGGTATTTTGCATTTCTGAGCTTCAAGGTACAAAAGGGTACTTTATTTGTTGTTGGGTCTCTAAGAGCAAGAAAAACCCATAAAAATGGCCATTGGGAATGAAAAGTCGTTTCCTTGGTGTATTTATACAAAAGGGTTATCGATTTCTTGCTTTTTTTATTGAGTTTTTTCTGTTGTATGATGTGATATTAAGTGTCGATTTATGTATTTTGTTGTAAATACACTTTGATGTGCATAGATTCCTAGAAGGTTCTATATTAAAATTATATCAATATGCACGATGAATGATTCGAGAGATGCTGTCAGTGGTTATGCAAGTGTATAAAGTGATTCTTTGTGATGCATTTTTTACGACGCTTTGATGAGGTTACATTCATAAAAGGCTCTATATTAAAATGATATCAATATGACAGTTTTTGGTTTGTATGACAGTCTCCATTGATAGGTGGTCTATTATGTTTGTAGAACTCAATGAATACCGTTATCTCTCAAATGACGACTGTCAGCCAGTATGAAATTTCTAACTGCATACTCCTCCCTTAATCAGTAACAAGTAACAGCCGTGTTTGTATCTTTTTTTTTTTTTTTTTTTTTTTCCATTGAAATTAACATTTTCAATCTTTTTGGATGAATTTTCTGAGTTTGTTTATCTTTTATCCTATACAAAAAATGTACATATCCCAATCTATTGAAAAACGGAGGAAGAAGAGTGAAGTAGTGAGTGGCAACTTTTGCTATGTATGTATTCTTCGAACACCTATTTTTTGTTAATTATTGAACATAAGGATGTAAATAGATTTTGATAATGAATGTAGACAACTTTTAATATATTTCACATGTTTAATAAAGTTTTAAAACTCATGGTATCGTACAAGCTCAATTACTAGTACTAGCAAAAAGAAAGAAAAATACTTCGGTTCGTAAATCCTTGCAATACAAGCAGAAATGACAATTGGAAGCCCATCACATGATGTAACATTTGCTATTGGGACTACATCCAAGGGATGACAGCCCTTTCTTTGGGGGTCGGTTATCTCCTGTAATCTCTCTTCCTGAATCCCCACTAGATACGCTTCTCCTATGGTGTGGGAGAGCAGTAGATGGGCCTGCCCCAAATGACTTTCTCCTTGGATCCGCAGATGGGCCGTCAGCAGTGGCCACCCTACGGATCCTTTCAGCCTCAGATGCACGATACGCCCGATATTGTGCTGCGGCAGCAGCTTCAGCCTGTTGAGCCATTGCTTTTTTGGCTTTTCTATCCATTTTAGCTTCTGCTTCTGCTTGTGCTGCTGCTTGTGCCGCTGCTTGTGCTGCTTGTGCATCAGCTTGTGCTTGCCGCTCTAGTGAGGCTGCTTGCCTTGCCTCTCTCTCAGCAGCACTAGCAGCCAATTGATCTTGAATCCATCGGCGTCCTATTTGACGTTCAATACACGCATTGTACACTTCCATGTTCATTTGCTGCTGGCTGCTGAAATTTAGCTTAACATATTTCCAGCTGCAAAAAAGATTAAGTTAGAATCACGTATATTCACAACAAAAAGGAAAAAAATTAAAACTTAGAAGCAATGAACATAAATTAGCAATTGAAATGCGTCAAATTAACTCATTACCTCAAAATATCGAAGCAGAGACACCTTTAGAAGATCATACTGTTCTATTAAAATTTCTAAAGTTTGACGGGCACCATCCATGTTACCCATTTCTAATTAAATCCTTTAGCCCGGTAGAGTGTTGCACCATTGACTCGGCACCAAAATTATTGGATGCTTTCAATAGAACCTTGGTATGGTGCTTTGCTGATGCAAGGTTCGGTTTGGATAAGGCATGAGTCTGGTCAGCAATCTGAGAGATTGAAAACTCTGTAGTGGCAATGAAATCCGTGACAAGCTCATCGAATTTCGATGTTAGCACATTGTTGCTGAACTTTTCATTGATAAGCCCCTGCCCAAAACACATAAAATTATTCAATATTTAGAACTTCACACCGAAGAAAATTAGCAATCCAAGTGAAGATACAAAGGACAAAAAAAACACTAGCTAGAGCTTACATTGTTCTTCATCTGTCTCATTAAGTTAATTGATGTAGCTTAGAAAGAAAGAAAACTATGGATCACCAAGAATTTGTTTTCAATCAATGAGGTTGGGGTTCAAATCCAAAGCTTTTTTTTTTAACACTAAACTTCGAATAAAGAAGCATTGGAAGATCTAAAATATGTAGAAAACTAAATTTGAAATAAAAATTATATCAATGTTAGACATGCGTAAGGCCTAAAATATATGTCAACAACTAATATTTGAGGGCCTAAAATATATGTGAACAACCAATATTCCCCACCCCCCCCCAAAAAAAATCATTAAAGAGGGCAATTAAATTCACTTTGTCCTATTTATTGCTCATTTTTTGAGTTAATTACACAAACATCCTCTGAGGTTTATTCTGTTTTCACAAAATCCCTTCACGTTTGATAAGTAACACTAACACCCCTTAGGTTTTAAAATCAGTCGTTAAAAAGACAAATTTACCCTTTTAATTAATTACTTAACAAAATAAAAACTATTGGAATCCAAACATCTAACCTATGTTTTTCCACCACTAACATCAACATGCACTCGACCCACAAACCCATTCTCGTCACTTCTAGCAACCCCCTCCCGATCTTCTTCTTGGTTGAATAATCCCAAAAGCTTTGAACAAAAGAGATGGCGAGGTCGACGAGAAGATTTTCTGGAAAGTATGAAACTAAGGTAGTAGAGCGAGAGAGATGCTGATGTCAACAAGAAAATTTCAGAATGAAAGAGTTGGCGATGTCGTTAATGGCATTAAAAAGAACATGAACGGAGGAGGTAGCGGAGAACTGGTCGTGATATCCAGTTTCATGAAGAAAATCGGTCCCTTTTCGTCTTCTTCTAGTATATTAAATTCAGTATACATATTCATGGAATAATGATCCTTGTTCCTATATATGCATAAGGGGAAATTTTATTAGAACTCACGTAACCTATCTCCACATCCAACTTAGTATATTAAATTCAATTACATATTCATGGAATAATGATCATTGTTACTATATATGCATAAGGAAATTTTTATTAGAACCCACATAACCTATCTCTACATCCAACTTAAATTGTAAATGGAAATTGTCTTTTTTACCCTGTCACATAATTACCATCAAGTACAAAATGAAATTAACACTAAAATTTTATGAAACCCCACACCTATTAATCATACCCCTACCATACAAAATCACCATTTTTAGAAAACACTATCAATAGCGACAGTAAACTTAGACAAAAACACTTAAAAGGACTTCAAATGATGGTCCAGAAAGGGTCTGAACTACCGAGCAAGTCGAAAGCCAAGCTGATAGATTTCACGAGCCATGCCCATTTGATGTCCCAACGAGGCCACTACACAATATAATGGGAGATCAAAGGAGAAGTTGAAGAGAGAGATGTTTGTGAATGTTGCAGAGAAATAGATGCATCATTTTTGGATCATGGCTATGTGGTCTCGAGGAGAAGCAATTTGATCGGGCCTCTTGAGCTTCGAATTGTGAAGAAGGGAACTTTCAAGAAAATTTTGGAACATTTCATAAGAAATGGGTGTGCAATGAGTCAATTTAAGACCCCTAGTTGCACTAGCAGCAAGGAGCTCTTGAGCATTCTCAGTTTTTGCACTGTTAAAAGGGTTTACAACACTGCTTATGCTAAATAGCACGTAATTGTATTTGGCAAAAATGCATGTGGCGAGTCAATCTCTCATGAATCAGTAAATGCACGTATAGAATTCAAAAAACACTCAGATCGATGTTCAATAAAGTTCAACAAACTCTCGAATGTCATACTTGTAATTTTAGGGTTATTGTGGATGTGCTGTATCGATAGATATACCTTCAAGTGAAAAATTGAACTGATCAGTTCTTCAAATTATTAACGTTCAATAAGCCAATAACATATAGATCATTTTCTGATGTACCCAAATTCAAGCTAGTTAGCCATGAGCGATTTTCGTTTTTTCTTTTAGATCCAATTCAATTTGAGATTCTATTTTATAAATGGGTGCAAAGATAACTTTACATTTTGAATTGGGTTTGGGAGGGTAGTTTAGGTAATAAATTTGGGTTTTAAAGAGATGTTAATTCTTTAATTAAAAATAATATGGGTGTAGAGAATAAGTTGGGTGTAGAAAGAGGTTATATGGGTTCAAATAAACTTTTCCTATGCATAATTTAATTACGATACATATGTTCAGAGTTAGGCCAAGTCGGATAAATGATCTCTCTGATCATAAGGTATTCGGAAGATAGCTCATGTGCTAAAAAAACTCGAATTTAAACCCATGTGGTGCACTCTGTTAGCAAATTTAGTCCAAAAGTGATTTTTCCGTTAACTGTCTGTTAATTCATGGGTAAAATTGCACTAAGTTGTAAATAACAAGATGCCTTTTGACTACACTAGATATGATTGCAGTGGTTTGAACTCTTTGATCATTAAACAGATCATGGAGATGGACCACATCAAGCTATCAGAGGAGGCACGGGCATATAAGAAGTGCCTTGAAGATATGAATGAAATGAGGTTTACGATTCATTCCACTTGTAAGTTAGACATGCTAAACGCTTTTGCTGCAACAAATGTAAAATCCACTTGGAGATGACCTAACATTACAATGTTCAAAAGATGAGATGAGTTTGTTATGTGACCTAAAATTGAGGTGGTAAAATATAATCTACCCGTTTATTTATTGTTGTTTGTGGGTGCGTGGAGGTTTTTGATTGGTTATAGGCAATCCAATAAGAACAACCAAATGTCGTATTTACGCTTCGTTTAGAACTACTTCTTGAAAACACTTTTGTTTAGAAGCACTTTCAGTAAAAGCACTTCTATTAGAAGCAAATTTGTAAAAATTAAAGTGCTCTTGAAATGCTTCTTAGAAGAAGCAAATAATTTGCTCCCGAAAGTTCATCTCTTTTTCTCCCAAACATGGTTAGTAGTGCTTGTGATGATCTAAGAGCGCTTAGTTTAATTTAAAATAACAAAATTGTACTTGGGCTACAAGCATAAACAAAAACACAACTTGTGCTTTTCTAGGAGTGCAGTGTACTCCATATCCAATTTCAAAGTCCACACTCAT